AACCCCTCTAAATCCAGGCTGGTCGACCAGTTAAAACCAGCCAACCAACCAGCCTAGACTGGTTTAAGCTGGATTTTTCAGCAGGGTGTTTTAAAAAAATGTTTCTCAAAGACAAATAGGAAGACACTTGGATACTTCACCATCAACAGTGCAGAACATCATTAAAAGATTCAAGGAATCTGGAGGAGTTTCAGTGTGTAAAGGATAAGGACACAAGCCTAAGCTGAACTTTCTCTGATAGTTCTCTGATTCCTCAGGCAGCGCTGCATCAGGAATCCTCATTCATCTATATGCATTATGGGCTCAGCACTACTGCTGCAAACCTTTGTCAAGTACCACAATACGTAATTACATCCACAAATGCCAGGTAAAACTACTGTGCCAAAAGGAAGCCCTATGTTAACAGTGTCCAGAAGCGTCAATGACTTCTCTGGGCTCAGAGGCATCTGGGATGGACCACCACACAGTTGACATGCGTACTGTGGTCAGATGAATCACTTTTTCAGGTACTTTTGGGAGAAATGGACACTGTATGCTCCTGATCAAAGAAAAAGATCATCCAGAAGTCCAAAAGCCAGGGTCTGTCATAGTCTGGGGTTGTGTCAGTGCCCTTGGTTTTGAAGCACATTATGCTGCTATCTTTTCCAGTGACGCTCATGCATATTTCAACAATGCAAAACCACATTCTGCACACATTACAAAGCCCTGGCTGCAGAGGAAGAGGATAAAGGTGCTTGATTGGCCTGTCTGCAGTCCAGACCTGTCTCCAATAGAGAATGAAATGAAGTGCAAAATGTGACAACGAACACCCCGTACTGTTGCCCCGTACTAATGTTTGCAAGAAGAATGGGACAAAATAAGACCTGAAACAGTCCCTAAATGCCTTTTAAATATTGTGAAAAGGAACAGCAACATTACAAAGTGGTAAATGCTTTACTGTTCCAATGCTGTACCATGCTGTACCAACATTAGAGTGAAGGTAAAATAGTTTTGCTTTGGGTTGTATTGCTTTGTTTAGTTTATTACATATATATATATATATATATATATATATATATATATATATATATATATATATATATATATATTGCATTTATTTTGTAAATAACATGCAAAATAGCATATAGAAAATAGTTTCTGAGGGATTGTGTGATGTCAAAGACCAGAGTAATAATATTGAAAATTCAGATCAAGGAAATTATGAATATATTAAATTTTATTAAAACAGAAAACAGCTCTTTTAAATTGAGCTAAGTTTAAGTGAAGTTTTCAATCCATTAATAAGCTGATGCTTACTCTTTTTGGACATGTGTTTGGTTTTGTATTGTTTTTGTTTAGCTGAATAGTTAAATTGTTTTATTTGACACGGTCACAATTAAATATTAGGTCGAAAAAGTTGAAAAATGCAAATTACTCTAAACTTCTAACTGCTTTGATACAGTATAAGCAGCAGTAGTG